CTCCTCATCCTTACAAATCGTTATGCCAAATTAATTGCTAATTGCATTATGCATTTTTCAACCTTTTCAGGAATATGAAGCCATCTATCTAGCAAAATTAACCATCCAGATGATGTCACCACTGCAGCTGGAGAGATCCCTCTCGGTTCCACCTGGGAATACAGGTGAGAAGCCCCTCCTGTCGTGTGTGAGGTGATTTTTACACTCCCTAAGTAAACCCTTAGGAGCAGAATAAATTGGGATGGCTGCAGTTGGTGTGCAAGCTGTGTCCAAACTTCAATATGCTTAAATATTCTGTTCTCCAATGACTGAACTTCCCTCTTCTCCCTTTTGCAGGAAGTTTAAAGAGGATGCACGAGGAGGATGAAGAACTTGGAACCATGCAAGTGGCAGCAGCACAGAATGGATGAGAGCTGAGGACAAGCACTGTTTGTATTATGAATTCCTGCCAAGAAAGGTGAAGAAAACTAGGGGAAAAAAATGAGTTAATAATGCAAAACAATGAACACACATTGCTTCTTTTCAATTACATGTTGCTTTCAGATGTAAATCTGCCTCTGCAACACACTAAGCATCATTTTTAAGATGTTGGACTTCTTGAATGAATAGATGGCACTGATTGTTTTACTCCTTTTTTACACTTTACAGTTTTATTCTAAACCAAGATTTTTGGACTTGCAAAGAGGTATTATTGCAATAATGCACTTTTCATACTTGAAATTTCTTTATTTGTATGATATAAAGTTATTACTTTAAACAAAATGCAAGTGGGGGGGGATTTGTTTATAAAGTTATTTGTGTAATTTATAACAAGAGACTTTAGTAAAGAAAAAGTTTGCTAAAACTCACCTTGTTCTCAGTATGTCTCGTGGTAGAAATGTGCTTTAGGAGCTGCACAATGTGCTGCTGCTGGCAGTGAGCTGAGCAGCATTTAACCTCATTGTACACTGAATTATCTTGAGACTGGCACTCTGGGACCAATTGAAGACAAAAGACTGTTCTGAAAATCTCCCTGTTTTATGGAAGTGAAAGTTGAACAGGGTACTGATGACTTAATAAAATAATCAGGTGTTGGGCTAGTACAGAGGGCAGCCAATTTGACACACATCAAGGCTGAATTCTTTTAGCCAGCATTAAAAAGCTGCTTGTAGATGAGTTATGGGTTAATTCAAGTTGAACGAACATCTTCAAACTCGTACTGAAGGAGTAGTTGCTGTTATAAGACAACAGCTGCATTATCTGAGGTAAAAACTGGGGTTTTTAGCTGCCTTATTATGGGACCAAGACTTCAAGGATTCACCTCAGGTCTGGTGAAACACTGGAGTCAACTAAGGAAACACTTTTTGGTGCTTTGAAGTTTCCAAATTGGGAATTGTCAGGGTGGTTTGTGCAGCTTTAACTCTTCTGTGCTAGCAGCACAGAGGTTGTGCAAGTCCCAGTTCTGCATCTGCTTTATTTCCCAATGTTTCTTGCATAAAAGCTGGGAATGGAATGATGGTTCCTTGGGAGCGCTGTGGGGACTGAGCACTTCACAAGCCTGTTAGAAAATCCTGTGGATTTGGGAAATCTGAGCTTGTACCTGGACAATGTTTTAACATGGAGCAGGTGGGCTCAAGATGTGGGGATCAGGGCATCCCTCTGCACTTGGATATGGCCATGTGGGGATGGGAATGTCCTCTGCCACCTCAGAATGGACAACCTGTGCTGGGGGGATTCCCTGAGGGCACAGATCTGTGGCTTTGAAGGCAGGAATTAAACAGTGCAGTTGTTTAGTATTGTGGGGGGTCTCCTTTCCCTGGCCTTGCAGCTCCTGGGAAGGCCTGCTGAGGGCTGGGGTCCCTCTGGAGCACGTGGAGCTTTTGGCCATGTCGGGGTAGTTAAACCTGGATTGGAGCTGCTCTGGGACAGATGTGGGTGACACCTGAGGAGGAAACATCCCACAGTGAGTCAGGGCTGTTTAGCTGAGCCAGAACACAGGGTGAGGCTTTCCAGCTAATAACCTCTGTTCCCATGGAATGTGAAGGCCCTGGAGTTCTCAACCAGTGATCAGCAGGAACAGGGAAGTGCTGCTGAGAACCTCTGCCACCTCCAGCAGTGATGGAGCAGCGTAAATCCTTCAGGGGAAAAAAAAACAAACCTGGAATAAAAAGTCTGATGCTGGAGTTATGAAATTTTCAGCTGGAAAAAAGGAAGTGACTTCTCTTCTGGAGGACTGCACTGTGTCAGTGCTCAGCCCACAGGCTCAGCGTGCAGGGCTGGTTCTGCAGCGGTGGAGGGTTTGTTACTTCCTACGAAGTGACTCTCCATAAAGGAATTCTGCTGGGGCTGTTGGGAAACACATTCCCGGCCGTTCCACCACGAGGCTCCCACATGGCTGCATGGCTCAGACACTGCCAGCCACGAGCTGCTGCTGAAACAGGGGTGGGAACCAGCAGATCCCTTTCTATTTTGGGTCCCCGGGGAAGGGGAGGGATGAAACACAGATGGAAGGCACTGATTCATCTCACCAGGCTCATCCATGTGCAGTCTGAGGCCGTTATCCCTGGGGTCCTGGGGAGACTCTGTCACTACTCCATGACTAAGGATTTTCCACGAATCCAGGGTTTTTTTCCATGCTGTCACCACATCCTGATGCCTTTTACAGTCATTCTGATCTGTCTGCCTGTCACATCCTAAGGGATTCAGAGATTAATTTCACTCATATCTATTATTAAGCCTTTTATTTAAAACTTCCTGATGTCTGTCTCCTGTAGCTGAACTGCCAGCAGCTATTTCAGTGTTTGCTTTTGGGGGTTCAGCTCAAGGTGGGAATTGGCAGGAGGGGCCCTCAGTGTGGATTTAAAGGAGTGGTGGAGAGCGAATCATTATTTTTAATTTCCCCTTCCCCAGGTTCAGACACAAAACTGCAGCACCCAAGTCTTTGGGGATCCACAGCTCTACATTATTTATCGTGTGTATATATATATATATATATATATATATACACATACATTAGATAAATGTAGATAAATTAATGGGCTTCAGCAGTTTGGGAAGGTGGACAATATATTTCCATACCCCCTGTGGCTGTTAAATGCTGTAATTTGTGGCATTTTCCCCCTTCCTGAGTTCCAAACACACACCTGTGACTGGTGGTGTTCCAGGGACACACCTGACCCCACAGCGGCCCCTCTAAGTTCCCATCCCGGGCAGCCTCAGCTCTCCAGCTGCTGTTTCCAGAGGGGAGGGAATGTCACCTCTGGGACAGAACAAAGAGCTCTTCAAAGCTCCAGGGCCGCTGCTGAGCCGGGTTGTGCCCGCAGAGGCTTTGTCATGCTGCCACAAACCCCAGCTTTGAACCCAATCCATTTGTTTTACAATGATCTGAGCCGGGGCCACAAGCACCTGCTCCTCACTCCTACTAATCTTCTCATTAACTCTTAATGAGGGCCCGGAGCTATTTAGATGGTGTAGATATCACGGAATTCAGCTAATCCACTTGAAAGTAGTGGAAGTTCAGAATTAATTAAAAATGTGAAAGGCAAGAAAATCCACCTCAGTTGCTTGGGCCAGCACAAAGCAGGAGCTGCTTTACACAGTTAGTTCAGAGTCAGGGCTCAAGCCGTGGAGGTGTTTGTCCATGGAACACAGCTGGGAAGAGCCCTGGAGGGAAATCCATGTGGAATCTCAAAAACTGTTCAGCCTAGGGAAAGGGGAACAGGTACACACCTACTCTGGGGAGCTACTACCCTATGGAAAACAGTCCAGGTACAGTTGGCAGTTTTCATTTATTCAGCTTAAACAAAGATATCTTTTAAAAAAATAATCAATAAATAAACCAGACATCACCAAGGAGACACCGTATCAAGTGGAGAACCCTCAGGAACATCAAGCAGAGCTCCCAGCACAGTGTAGGGCCGCTCTCCACAGCACAATGGAGGACACTGTGCACAGCCCACAAACAACACAGGCTGTTCCCTACAAGCCCCGGGGGTTTATAATGCCCTATTCATGGATGTGGGATTTGTCACTCTCCACACAAAACACCACTGTTGAATCCAGGGCTTTGTACCTTGTTTGCCACCGCTGGCAAAAGTGCTAAAATCATTTATCCAATCTTACAGCAAGAGGGAAGCTCCAAAGCAGCAACAATCCCTTGGGAGCAGGATGCTGGAGGGATAAATCTGTACCGGCAAAAGCAGAGTCTGCCTGGCCTCCAGGAGTTCCAGGACAGGAACTGTCCAGCAGGAGTTGGCCAGGTGTGTTCAGTTCACAGAATCACAGGATGATTTGGGTTCAAAGGGGCCTTAAAGCCCATTTTATCCCACCCCTGGCCGCAGGCAGGGACACCTCCCACTATCCCAGGTTGCTCCAAGCCCTGTCCAACCTGGCCTTGGACACTTCCGAGGATCCAGGGGCAGCCACAGCTTCTCTGGGCAACCTGTGCCAGGGCCCCAACAGAGTCAGGAATTCCTTCCCAATATCCCATCTAACCCTACCCTCTGTCAATGGGAAGCCATTCCCCCTTGTCCTGTCCCTCCAGGCCCTTGTCCAAAGTCCCTCTCCAGCTCTCTTGGAGCCCCTTTAGGCACTGGAAGGGGCTTCAAGGTCTCTTCTCTCTTCTCCAGGCTGAACACCCCCAGCTCTCAGGTGAAGCTGAATCTGCCAATCCCAATCCCTTTCCCATTGATTACTAGCCAGAATCCACTACAGATGGGGTATATTCCATCAGACATTCCAGCTTCCCAGTTCCCTCTGCCCTGTCACAAACCACCTTTGGGTTTTTTGTGTCAGAAAACAACTAATTATCCTGAAAACCAAGTTATCAGCTAAAGTGCAGGAGCCCTGCAGTGAGAAGCACACATCCACCTTTAGACTGGGAATCCAGCACAGCCCATAAGGATCCTCCCCTACCCGCACAAACAGTAACAAATCCAGTCTTGCAAAATAGTGCCTATAAAACTTCCAACAGCACTTCCATGAGGTGTCATGGAAAGAACAGAACAAAGGCCTGTTCTGTGTCAGTAATTCTGCATAAGAGAAGCCTCATCCCTTCCCAAGCTCTGTCACCCTTCCATCAGCACAGGCAGCAGGACAATCCCATGGGCTGTCCTTTGGCTACCGAGAAAAGAAGCACAAACCTTTAGAAAAATACAATGCAAGAAAAAATTTGAGATAAAAATATATACCTTTGGTTAAAAACCATCCCTTTAACGAGTCCTTTGTAACTCAGCTAGAACAGAAAAGCTTCACCTCGACTCCACAGCAGTAAAAATTAGTTCTAAGCTTTTTTTTCCCTAACCCAGAGGACCCTTCTAAAATCTCATTAATTTGTTTTCCCGGGATTTACACATTTGATGTTCATTATTTATAGGGATCATTATATTTGCAGCCATAAACTATATAAGTTTTCCACGAAGAGAATGTTTGGAGCACAAGCTCCTCCACCACCAGTCTTTTACCACCTGGAAGTTGTTAATTAAAGAACCGTTGAAACATGTAGTTTTCCTCAGATACCAAATAGCCAAACTTCTTGTAGAAATCCACGTTTTTGGGCAGACATTCCAGCGTGATTTTGTAACAGTTCAGTCTCTTACTTAGCAAGGTGAGGGTGGATATTAATCTGGGAAAGACAGAAAACCAACAGTTAAACGTTGGGTCAGTGAACATTTAATTAAATTATCACAGTGACAACACTGAGGTCTGACAGCACTGACAGCACTCTCTGTGTTTTCCAGTGGATCATTTTATTCCCAACTGGTGATCCCTGCTGGCTAAGTTCTTCCCACATCCCTGGCAGGGTGGATTTGCCCTGCAGGAAGCTGTAAGTGCTTGGTGCCCACCTGCTGCTGAATGGAAAAGGTGGGGAAATACTCACAGTTTTCCAAGCTGCTTCCCCCTGCACTCCCCGCTGACCACCACGTCTTCTATTCTCCCTCTCTGTGGAAACATAGCCAAGGGTTAGGACTGGAATTCCCCTTCCAGCTTCCCACCATGGGATCCAGGTGTGGATCTCCAGCTCCCTGTTTTCACAGTCTGGCTGGGATTCCCAAGAGGGAGATCCTTGTCCACCTGCTCCATCAGAACCACGTCTGACTTGTGCAGAAGCTCACCCAAGTTTTCTGTTACTGTTAGCTGAGCACCCAAATAAGAGATATTTTTAAAATGCAGAAAAAACACTTGATGTTTTTAAATATATATTTTAAAATATTTACATTTTTAAGGGTGGAAAAACCCTCTAAGACCATTGAGTCCAATTGTTCTCCCAGCATGGCCAAGGCCACCACTGACCCATGTCCCCAAGTGCCACATCCACATGGTTTTGAAAGCCCCCAGGGATGGGGACTCCAGCACTGCCCTGGGCAGCTGTGCCAGGGCTGGACAACCCTCTCCATGTGGAAAGTTTCCCTGATATCCAACTTAAACCATCCCTGGCACAACTTAAGGCCGTCACCACACCTTAAAACCATAAAAACACCATGTCCAGAGTCAAGGACAGGATCTTTTCCTCCCTTTCCAGCTGCAGTAGAGGATTTACCTTGGCACAGGAGTGAGTGAATTTATGTTCTATAACCAGTGTTGCTGTAGCAACAATCTGTCCAAGGTTTGTGTCCTCCACGACGGTAACGTAATAATCTCCTGATCTCTTCATGTGCTCGAAGGTTTCTGTGGGAGCAGAGTGGAACAGTCAATTTAGTCCCAGATTAAACCGCAGGTAAGTCTGACACTTGCAGCACATTCTGACTGCAGATTATTGTGGGATCACAAGGAAGATGCATCCAAGACCCCAGAATCTGAAAGCCCAGGAGTCAGACTAACCCAAATTAAAGCAGAAATTAAAGGATCTCAGGTGCCCAGAGATCCTTCCTTCCCCAGTGTCTCCAGGCTCTAACAGAATCCCAAACTGGCTTGCGTTGGAAGGGACTTAAAGGCCATTTCATTCCATCCCCTCCATGGGCAGGGACACCTTCCACTAGCCCAGGTTGCTCCAAGCCCTGTCCAACCTGGTCTTGGACACTTTCAGGGATGGGGCAGCCACAGCTTTTCTGGGCAACCTCTGCCAGGGCCTCCCCACCCTCACAGGCAGGAATTTCTTCATGCAAAGGGTTGTCCAGCCCTGGCACACTTGCCAAGGGCAGTGGTGGAGTCCCCATCCCTGAAGGGATTTAAAAGCCATGTGGATGTGGCACTTGGGGACATGGTTTAATGGTGGGCTTGGCCTAGATCCGGTGATTCCCTGCATCCCTGGCTGCTTCCCCAGTGCCTGCCCACCAAGGAGTGGGATCTAAAAGGGACCTGAAGTGGGTCCCAAGGGAACTGGAGAGGGACTTTGGACAGGGGATGGAGGGACAGAAAAAGGGGGAATGGCTTCCCACTGCCAGAGTGCAGGGTTAGATGGGATACTGGGGAGAAATTCCTGACTATGAAGGTAGGGAGGCCCTGGCACAGTTTGGCCAGAGAAGCTGTGGCTGCCCCATCCCTGGAAGTGTCCAAGGTCAGGTTGGATGGGGCTTGGAACAACCCAAAAATCAGCCCAAATAACCCATGCCAGGTATCTTAAGCTCAGTCTCAAAAGCAGGTTCACAATTTAGACCTGTCCCAGCCAAGCAGCCCTCAGGGATCGCTGCAGCTGGATCCAAGGCTGAGTGCCAAAGGCTGCCTCAGGGGAGCTGAGCTCATCACTCCCTCTGGCATCAGGCAGTCAAAGCCTCACTCCCAGGCAGCTTTGCTGCCAGCATCAGAATCCTCTGCTTCCCAAAAACTTCTATGGAAATTCCAAGGAATAATGATACACTCACTGATAAACTGTTCCGGGCTTGCAACTCCGGTTTCCGTCAGCTGACCCAGAACCTTGAAAAAGCCTGTTGGAAAAGAGGGGGGAACAATAAACCCTCAGGGAGGGACAGACACACACAATTAGCTCTAAATGACACCCAACAGCCTGTTTGGAGAGTTATCATCCCATGAAACTCCCACCCTGGGCAATGCTGAAGGATGAGCTGAAGCATCAGAGCAAACTGCAGCTTGAGTGCAGAAGGTGCAAGAAAAGGATAACCCTGGAATTATGTGATGTTCAGTCGTATGTCCAAACCAACTTTTTTATCCAAACTGTAGAACTGAAGGAGAATTCATGCACCAAGATGCTGGTTCATGTTGCTCTGGTATTAAAGGGAAGAGCATGAACAATTGTGCTCCCTCTCTAAAGCTGTGGGGAATAGGAAGTTGTGGAATATTTGATTTAAATTTAAGATTAAAACAGTAAACCAAGTTTTCAGGGTCACCCAACACAGCACCAATCCACGGTGCCAAGTGCTCAGATTCAGGGCAGTGGTCATGGCCCCAAACCTGCCAGGAGCATTTGGACAAGGCTCTCAAGGCACATGGTGGGATTGTTGGGGTGTTGTGTAGAGGGCCAGGAGTTGGACTCAATGATCCTTGTGAGTCCCTTCCAACTCAGGATGCCCTATGATTCCATGAAATTGCTTACTGATGAAAATAACCCAAATCAGGGAGAACAAGCAATCCCAACCTACCGAGAGCTCATGCACAAATACATATTATTGATTCGGTGATGATCAAGCAGGATCCTACCTCGGTTTAAATCAGCTGTGCAAAGTGGTCTCAGAACCAGCCCATCCCCCGGATTCAGCGGAGAAATAGCGGGAGAAAACGTCGTCGTGTTCTCGCTCCAGTCCAGCTCGTGCAGAATCCTTGGATCAAACATGGGCGTGTCGTCGGGCATCACGGTGGCCACTGGCATCATGGCTGCAGCAGGGGATCTGCAACAGAACGGGTATGGAATGCTTTGCTTTGCTTTCACCTCTAAGTCAGTTGCTTCCCGTGGTTGTGGCACGCCCTGGGATGTTCCTCAGGGATGTAAGGAAAGGTGAATAAACTGCTGTTGACCTTCTGTGCGACTGAAGCTCCTCAACCTTCACCCAACGAGGCCGCTGGGCAAACAAAGAGCGCCCTGACACCGCGCACGTCACCGAGTCAACACGCGGCGCTTTGGTGTTTATATTGGAAAAAACAACCTGATAAGGCACTGAGCAGGGTATTTAAACTCTGCAGCCCTCTGAACGGGAAGGCATCACTCCCAAGAAACCTCCCAACATCCTCTTTAAAGATCATTTGCATTCCTGTTCACCGGCAGTAGGAATAAGGCACTTTTTCCAAGCAGCCCCATCCCATAAATATTTAACCTCTGGGGCACGAGGTGCCACAACCCAGAGCTGAGAAGGCAGGTGATGCCACGGTTACAGCCCAAACTGCCCCTCCCAGGCTGTCCTGTTTGCTCCAGGTGTTTACAGAGCCCAGCTGCCAAGCAGTGTCCATGAACAGGGAAAACACAAGTGCCAAGGTGATGGTGACACCTGTTAATGATTAAAGAGACTTGGGAACTGGGCTTTATTCAGAGTAACAGGAAGCAAAGGGATATATTTTCCTTACTGAGTTCAAAGCCAGGTTGGATGGGGCTTGGAGCAACCTGGTCTAGTGGAAGGTGTCC